CCCCCCGGCCGGGAAGCGGCTCCCGCGGGGCGGTCGGCGGCCCTGCGGGCACGGATGGAGGAGCGGCTGCTGGCCGCCCGGTTCCGGTACATCAACCAGCAGCTCTACACCTCCACCAGCCAGGAGGCGGCACGGCTCTTCCAGAGTGACCCTGAGGCCTTCAAAATCTACCACCGCGGCTTCGCCCAGCAAGTGGAGCGCTGGCCGGAGAACCCCGTGCACCGCATCATCCGCTACCTGCGGCGGCGGTGAGCGGGCAGAGTCGGGGGACACTGGAGAGCCGGGCCCAGGGCCGCCCCCGAGCGCGGGGACCCGCTGAGGTGGTGGGGCGAGGGGGAAGGGGTGTTCTGAGCCCCTGCTCCCCCTTCCCAGGCCAGCCTCACTGGTGGTGGCAGATTTTGGGTGCGGTGACTGCAAGATCGCGAGCAGCATCAAGAACAAGGTTCACTCCTTTGACCTGGTACCTCTCAGCCCGCTGGTCACCGTCTGCGACATGGCCAAGGTAGGGGGGGGCGCAGGGAGGGGACAGGGCGAGGGGCGGCGGCACCTCGAGCGCTGCACCCAGCAGGGCGTTGGTGGGGGCTGGCGGGGCGGGCCTGACGCTGCCTGGCAGGTTGGAGGGGCGTGGGTTGGTTGGGGGGCAGGGGCGATTGTGGGGGACAGGAGAGGGTGGTCAGGGATCCCGAGGGTCCTGTGTGCCGGAGGGAGCACACGTCTGTTGGGAAAACCGGGCGCCTCCGTCTGCGGGCTCCTCAGAGCAGATGCTCTGTTGAATCCAAGAGCCCGGGGAGCGGCAAAGCGCAGAAGGGCTGCCCCAGCCCCGTCGCCATCCTCCTCCTCCTGGGGGGGCGTCCCGCTTGCTCTCTGGCAGGTGCCTTTGGCGGCCGAGTCGGTGGACGTTGCGGTGTTCTGCCTGGCGCTGATGGGCACCAACCTGCAGGAGATCCTGGAAGAGGCCAACCGCGTGCTGAAGCAGGGGTAGGCACAGACGTGCGTGCGGGGCTGGCGAGGGCAGGAGGCACCGGGGTGAGCCCGGATCGCGCGGGCTGGGCTTCAGGCGCACGGTGAGGAGCGGAGGCGCTGGGCTGTGCCCCAGGAGGTGCCTGTGCCGCTGCCGCTCAGCGCTGGGGTGTTCCGCAGGGGTATCCTGATGGTGGCCGAGGTGGCCAGCCGCTTTGAGGACATCCGAGCCTTCATGAACAGCATGGCTCAGCTGGGCTTCAAAAGCGTCTCCAAGGTGCGTCCTTGGCTGTGCCCTGTGCTGGGCACTGGGTGCACTGGGAACCAGGGAGCCCCGAGAAAGAGCCCACCGGCTCCGGCAGCAGGGCAGGGCAGCGCCGCTCAGCCTGGTGCTGGTGGGGAGCAGGCCTGGGGGTGGTGACAGCATGTGGGCGTTTGGGGGACCCGGGGTCCCCGGGGGTTGTGGTGCTGGGGTCTGGGAGGAGGTCTGGGGGACCTGGGGCCTGTGGGGGTGGTGGTGCTGGGGCCTGGGGGACCTGGGGCACACCTGGGGTCTGGGATGGGGTATGGGGGCCTTGGGGCACACAGGGGCTGTGGTGCTGGGGTGTGGGGGACCTGGGGCACACGGGGACTGTGGTGCTGGGGTCTGAGATGGGGTATGGGGGACCTGGGGCACACGGGGGCTGTGGGGCTGGGGTCG